AAAATCTTGACATATGAAACACAAAAAGAGAGCGCTGCCAAATTGTATCCATACAAGGATTTCACCGTTGTTAAACGTAGGTAAGCCTTCTGGAAGATTATTCTAAAATGTTTACAGTGGCTTCTCTGGATTACACACAGCTATAATTCTCTTCTTTACACTTTCAGTATTTCCCACATTTTCTTTTAGGAGCTTATTTTTAAATTGGAAAAAATATATATTAAAAATAAGAAGTCTTATCATTGTCCAAGGCTCAGATTCAATTACACCATTTCCTGGAAACTCTCACATGGATTTGACAAGCACTTCAAAGATGTGGCCATTAATGTGACAAGTTCCCGTAACTGTCAGATCTGGTCATTGAACCTTCGCACTTTCTCGCATGGCACTCATCTCAGTCTGTCTTGCTTCAGAGTTACTTAACGTGCCTGCCCGCTGCCCTCTCCCCAGCCTGTCCTCCAGATGGGGACCGGAAGGGCAAGGGCAGTCTTTTTTTTTTAAAATCCTGATTTTCTAGGGCTCAGTACAGTGAATCTTTATTGAATTAGTTGAATGTGATCAATCAGATTGTCTAGACAATAAGAAATTCTAATTATATTCAGAAGATCTAGGTAAGTGGAGCTCATATTCTAAGATTAAAAAAAGGTGTCAAGATTAGGATCAAGATCTCTGCTTCTGACCATGGCCCTTAAGAAAGGGCTCAGCCAGCCTCTGAGCATCACACCAACGATGGTTGGTCGGCCCCTGGCTCCTGCTCCTTACACACACACACACACACACACACACACACACACACACACACACATCCTGCCTCCCTCAGTCTCTGGGCCACACCCTTATCCTTCAGACCCCAGGCTTTCACACCCGTTCCCTTTGCATGGAAGGTTTGTCCCCTTCTAGCTGGCCGGTTCCTTGTTATCTGTTAAGTTCAACTCCATAATAGGCTACTTTGGTCCCTCTTTCCCCACCTGCCAATGGCTTGCTATTCTTTTCCTTCTTACCCTTTTCCCACTATTGCCATTCTGTATCTGTGGGGTCATTTGCATAGGCTTGTCTCTCCTACTTCCCTGGAATCTCCAGAAAGCCAGCCACTTCTGCCTATCACGACTGGTCCTAGCATCTGGCACAGAGCTTGGCACAATCATGAGCTGAGTGAGTGAAAGGAGATAGATGACATGGGAAGAAAGGGAATTTTCCCATTTCCCTCCTCCAGATCCCAGAGCTGATCCAACTCCCTGCATTCAAGCTGCCGATGTGGCATCAAAATTTTAGAGCCAGCCAAGGTACAGAGAGGCTAAGAGATGTCCAGGGCACACAGCTTTATTGTGGTAGGGTGGGGTCGGTGCCCAGCCTCCTGACTCCTAGCACAGTGCTCTGAAGAGTGAACACTAGGTGGGAGGGATGGAAGCAATCCCAGGCTGGGCTCTGTTTTCCCAGGAGACCCAACTCCTTTCTGGGGAATGAGACTTAATATGGCAGGAGGAAGCAAATAAAGTCTTTCATGCCTCTATTTACCACCAGGACAGGGACCAAGAGATGTTGCCTGTTTGGATCTGGCTCAGTGCAAGAATAGTCACCGCTCGCATCTTTACATTGCATTGTTATTTCCAAAGCACGTTCACTTACATCCTCTTACATCAGCTCCACAGAAATCCTGTGAGGATAGGCAAGCAGCTGACTAACCCATGTAACAAATGAGAAGCAAGAGGCCCACAGACGTGTGTCAACTTGCCCAAGGCCACACAGCTGGTCAGTGGAAGAGCCAGGCCTGGAAGCCAGGCCTCCGGATTCCCAGTCCAGAACTCTTTCAGTATTTCCAGCACCCAACCATGACACTAAAATCTTTGTTTCTTGGGGCACATCTTGGTCGTGGCATCACAGTATCCGTAGTGACATGAAAAATGGCTGAGGGAGAAGCGGATGTTGTGATGGGTGTGGCTCTCCATGACTCAGGCTCTCACCAGGTCCTGGTTTCCATCACCCCCATCACATGCCTGGATCTCGTGGTCTGAATCTCATGGTTCATGTTCCTTTCCTAGCCGCCCTGCTCTGATCCTGACACTGATAGTGACACAGATCCTGTCTTCTCCATCCATGCACAGCCCCTGCAAAGGAGGCAAGACAGGAATGGGAGAGCCCCGGGAGTGTTTATTGAAAAAAATCAGAACTGCAAGCACTCAGAACTGCAAGCACTCCTTGGATAAGAAGAATTTGGACTGAAACAGAGAGAGACAGAGATGGAATTCAGAACTTTAAATGTTTGCTATCGAGCTCATTCAGAACAAAGGATGATCTATTGAGGAAAGCCCAGAGTGGGTGTTAAGTTCTGACTTCTGGTCAGTTTTTCACAATGTAACCTTAGGGAAGTTACACCTCTGGGATTTCATTTTCCCGTTCGTAATATTTATTATACAGGGGGCAAAGGGAGTTGTCTTCCCAATTTGTTCCAACTGATCCCCAAACAGTCACCATGACATGCCCACATGAATGGTCACTTGGTAAAATACTTTATATGAATGGTCACTTGGTAAAAATATCCAAAGAAATTAAGTCCTCTTGATCTGGGGCACCTTAACACACTGTACGTATGAGCATAGTCTCGGAAGCCAAACTCTCTGGGTCCAAATCCAGGTTTGCCACTTGTTAGCTGTATGACCTTGGGTGTTACTAAACCCCTCTGTTTTATGCTTCCTCATATTTAAAACAAGGATACTATCGGTACCCTTGCATAGGGTTATTACATGGATCAAAGGAATTAAGATAAGCAAAGCACTTACTAGAATTGGGCCTGAAATATGGTAAACACTCATTAAGTGTGATTCTTATCATTACCCAGCAAAATCTGGTATTCTCCATCCCTTAAATAACATTTCCTGGTTGCTGAAGCTTCCCTTGGCCAAAATGTTAAAAAACTATAATTACTTTGTATATAAATTAAGAACGACAATCATTTTGAATATAAATCTTTCTAAGTCACACTATAAAATGTCTTGCTTTCTTAAAGAGTATCTATTCATTATAGTTCACCTCCTCACCTGACTCAGGCCCAACAAGAATAGGAAATCACTGTACACTAGATAGTTCTTAAAAACCTTTCTACTCTAACTTCTAAGATCTCACAGGCAGAACACCTGAAGAAAGCTCATCTTCATCCTGGGGTGGCTTGTGACATACCCATCACAGGCCAGTTCCCTGGAGTTAAATGGTACAAAACATTCCCCCCAGAGAGGGCTGAGTCCCCAGTGCCCGTGCCCATGCCCACCCCCTTCTAGTGCTGTGCTGCCTGACCCTCTAGGGTCCGCTGTGGCCCAGCTTCGGGCTGACAGCAATGTGGTGCTTCCAACCTCCTGCGCACTCCCAACGTGTCGAAACTCAAGCCTGTTTGGCAAGAAATTTGGCCCCAGTGGTGCCAAGGATGGCAGTCAGCCCACCGTCCCACTGCGTATCAGACTTGGCCTGCAGGTTGGGACTTGCTTCCCTTCTACCCAGGGTTTGGGTCAGACCAGACAGGGACCATGGGGCCACCTGGTTCCCACGTGGCCTGGAGGCCACTTCTGGCAAGCCCATGCCAACATCTTCAGGACACTCCTCTCAACCCTTTGAAGGAGAGGAGGATGCTGAAAAGGAACCAACAATGGTACAGTTCCTTGTTACATCAGAAAATCCCTTAACACCCCAAAAAGGAAAGTATCAGATTTATCACAAATTGGGGAAATTCTTTGACTTGATCTCTTGAAACTTACTGGCAAAACATCTCTCTATAGGTCCACAGAAAATGAAGTGTTAGGCCAGTGATTGCCAAACTGCAGCTCATGAGCCACATGCGGCTTTTTGGCCCCTTGAGTATGGCTCTTCCACAAAATACCACGTACAGTGAAATTGAAGCTTCGTGGCCCATGCGCAGAAGTCAGTTTTGGTTCTCAAAATAAATTTTAATCATTATACTGTTGATATTTGGCTCTGTTGACTAATGAGTTTGCAGACCGCTGTGTTAGGCAAACAAACTAATTGCTATTGCAAGATTTTTTTTAATGCTTAGCATAGTGTGTGTGTGTGTGTGTGTGTGTGTGTGTGTGTGTACGTATGTAATAAGATCTTAATAAATATTAGTTCTCTTCCTCCTTCCTGAGCCTTCCCCACTCTATATGTCCCAACACACACATTCACACACACCTACACACACACATCACCATCACCATCACCCCATGCTCGTGTGTGCGCGCACACATACCCTGAAAGCCAAGGTCAGGGGGAATTAGAAAGTAAATAAAGGGACTAATCAACTCCGCACCTTTTCCCCCTTTCCAAGTGTGACTCTCTCCCACCCCCCACCACACTGCCAAGATCTAGAATCCAGCTTCCTCCACCCCAGATAATAGCAATTATTACCTAACAATTATTAAGCACTTCCTGTGTGTGCCAAACACCTTCCATGCATTCATTATTCCACCAGCCCAGGATCCAGATCAGGCCATCCTCAGGGATCCCAACCAGACCAGGCGATATTCACAAAACCTGGATGTCCCAGCAGCACTGAAGACCAATCCCTTTAGACCAAACAAGTCAGACTAGAGGCCGGGGCGGGGGGAGGGGGTTATGCCTCGTTAATTTGGCCCGTATTCCCTTTGAGTTTGACATGCTTGCTTTCAACAACACCAGGTGAAACATTTCCACGTATGGTTTCCCAAGGCCAGAAATCCTTGAGGTTGCCTTTTACACATTAGAGCTCTCCACATTCCACCTATAAATCTTCAGATTCTCATGAAGGTTTTTTTAAATATATTTTTTTATTGATTTTTCACAGACAGGAAGAGAGAGGGATAGAGAGTTAGAAACATCGATGAGAGAGAAACATCGATCAGCTGCCTCTTGCACACCCCCAATTGGGGGTGTGCCAGCAACCAAAGTACATGCCCTGGACTAGAATCAAACCTGGACTTTTCAGTCCACAGGCCGATGCTCTATCCACTGAGCCAAAATGGTTTCAGCTCAAGAAGTTTTTTTTTTTCCTTGTACTGATATAAAAGTGTTCTTAAAAAAAAAAAAAAGTTTTACATTACATTTACCAAAGTCATTCTTTTTGCTAGTTTATCAACTTTGCTTTTCAGTTGAGTTTTACGGATTTTGACAAAATAAAACTACAATAATCACTTTCTAGTCCTTTCAGAAATATAGTGACCCTAAACTCTGAGACTTGAAAGGAGAGAAAATTATCCATTTAAATAAGCTGGTGGTTTTGCCCATCAGCTCCCTTTCCCCTTCCTTTCTTTTCCTCAATACATATTAACATAATTTCATAAGCTGTCTCCAAGCAGCATTTCCACTGTAATTAGTTGCTTTTCACTCAAAGTGACACACTGAAGGAGTGAATAGCACAAAGGAAGATATATTTAAGAAATTGAGAGCTCAGTTAATGTTGCTACCGACTGCTGTGAAAGGAGTTCTTCTTTAGAGAAAGAGGGACTCTCCAGGATGAAAAAAATTTGCCTTCCTTAAAGAACTAACTATAAGAAACAGACCAGTGTGTCATCAGAGGTTGCCTCCAGGTGACGAAATGATAGACAAATACTTCCTTGCTTCTAATGCTTTTCTGAGTTACCTTATTTTAAACAACTAAGCATGAATTATTGTTATACAGAAAGGGAAAAAATGCACTGGGGTGATGGCTACTAAGATTAAGATGCATACCTAACAAGTCATTTCCCATCTCTCGCTTCCTGCCTTTTTCCAGGAAGAAACATCAGGGCAGAGGAGGGAGGAGATTGTCATCGAGAAGGCCTGGTCCCCAGTGGGCAGATGGAAACTCGGAGGTGGTGCAACCTGCCCAGTCACAAAGTCAAGGACGGAATTAGGATAGCTCTCTGTCGAGGTTAGCAGGTCATCTGCCCGAAGCATGATGCTCTCTGCTTTCCCCATTGCTCAATTCCAGCGGGTGGTTAGAGATCACGCTAAGCAGTTCCAGAAATACAGCCTCCTGATAAAGAACAGGTTCACACTCATCAGGATGGCTACTACAAAAACAAAACAGAAAACAGTGTTGACATGGATATGGAGAAATTGGAGCCTTTGAGCACTGATGGTAGGAATGTGAAATGGTGCAATGGCTATGGAAGCTCCTCAAAAAATTAACAAAGGGAACTACCATATGATCCAGCAATCCCACTTCTGGGTATATCACCACAGCAACTGAAAGCAAGCACTTGAAGAGATACTTGTACACCCATGTATTACTCACAAAAGCTAAAATCTGGAAACAACCTAAATGTCCACCAACAGATGAATGGATAAACAAAATGTGGTGTGTACATACAACAAAGTATCTTCCAGCCTTAAAAAGGAGAGAAATTCTGACAAATGCTACAACATAGATGAACCTTGAGGACATGAAGTAAGATAAGCCAGTCCCCAAAAGACCAAGGCTGTGTGACTCCATGGATATGAGATGCCGGGAGAAGTCCAATTCACAGACACGGAACGTAGAACGGTGGTTACCAGCGGCTGGGGATGGCGGAAGAGGGGAATCGTTGTTTAATGGGTAGAGTTTTAGTTTTATAAGATGCAAACGTTCTGGAAATCTGTTTCACAACAATATGAATGTACTTAACATAACCGAACTGTCCACTTTTTAAAAAATAGCTAAGATGGTAAATTTTATGTTATATGTGTTTTCTTAACCACAATTTTCAAAAAGTAAAAAAAGCCTAGTTGGAAGGCACGAGCAAGCCGCTGCCCCCTGTGCCCGAGGCTTGAAGAGGAAGGGGTTATTACATTACTAGCATGCAGCGCTCTGGAGTCCATGATCACCGCAGACCACATGGGTTCCTCTGTGTAAAACTCCTGGCAAAAGCCAGGCAGATGTGCCTGAGACACGAGGGACTGGAGCCCATGCAAAGAAGGTGCTGGCGCCAAACCTCTTAACTCCCAGCTGAGAGCCAAGGGGAAGACAGGGTCAGCCTCAGAGCGCCTCTCGCCTGAGCCTCTTCAGAGAGAAGCGGGCGGGTTCTGCTCCAGGAAGAGGAGGGCTGAGGGGGCAGGAGGCTAGGAAGAAAGATACAGGATTGACTTTCAAAGCAGAAACAAGATCAGCCCCTTTGGCTGTTGAGCTGCCTTTCTGTTCCAGTCGTGGATTTGCCTAGGTTCACCCCTGAGCTTGTCTTCCTGTCACCTCCCTTCCTCCTCGGTCTCTGCTCTCCTAGCACTCATCTTGGCTTCACCTCCTGTGTCCTGATCTGAACACCTGTTTGCACCTCTGCTCCTGCATTCCTTCATTTGTTCTTTCACCCGTTCTTCTATCCGCCCAGTCACTCAATAGATTACAGAGGCTAAGGACACAGACACTGGAGCCATATTGCCTGAGTTCAAATCCCAGCTTTGTTCCTTACTAGCTGTGTGACCATGGGCAAGTTACTGAGCTTCTCTGTCTCTCCATGTCACCATCTCTAAAATGGAAATAAAAAAATGGTGCTATTTCAGAGAATTACTCGAAAATGAAAGGACTTCAACTCCTGTAAAGTATGTCAGAGCCATGCCTAGCACACAATCAGCATTCAAAGTATGTTAGGTAAGATCAGTCACTCATTCGCAAACACCTCAGGTGCAGGTGAAGCTGTACTGGGGATAATGGGGAAACGAATCTAGATATAGTCCTTGCCCTTGCGTTGCTCCCCTTTTAAGGGGGGAAGGGGGGAGAGACTTACAAACAACAAAATATAAAGGAAATTAGGAAAATAAAATACTATGAGGGGAGAAGAGAGAGGTAAAGGAGGAACATGATTGAGGGGGAAGTCTTCACAAAAATGTGGCATTCGAGCCATGCCTGTGAGACCGTGTAAGGTTTTAGAATCTGAGAGGGAGGGAGCCTCCCCCTGGTGGAGTTTGAACCTAGAAATATGCAAGTCCTCGTGAAATGAAGACAAGAGCTGCATCTCTGAGGTAAGGCTGCCAGAGAAAGTACAGGATACACAGGTGAATTTGAATTTCAAATAAACATTTTCAGTACAGTATGTCCCAAATACACTAAAAATGTATTCATTGCTTACTTGAGGATCAAGTACAGTTGATCCTTGAACAACATGACTGCCGACACCCCGGGCAGTTGAATAGCCAAGCACAGCTGTGGATTCTATAGTAAGCTCTAAGGCTGAATCTGCAAATCCAACCAACTATATTTCAACCAACAGTGTTTTCCATCTGTAGCTGGGAATATGCAGTTAGAAATTCAAAAACACTGTTTTCCTAGGAGGTTGGTTGAACCCCTGCACATGAAACCCAAAATACGGAGGGGCTGGCTGTATTTATCGGAAAAAATTCACCTGTAAGTGGACCCCTACAGGTCAAACCGGTGTTGTTCATCAGGCAACTGCATCACTGGGCATCCTATATTTTTACTTGCATCTGGCATCTCCACCCTGGGGTGGGAATAAACCCTTCTGGAAGCCGGTGGCCTGGACCTGAACTTGTGCCTCTCCTCCTCACCGCCCCCCCCCCCCACCCGCCACCACCACCCGCTTGTGGTTTGCCACCTTCATGAGTCATGTGGTGTTGTTGACTCTGGGCGTTAGAGGGACCCTGATGAACTGTCGGCAAGTTATTCTGTGCCACTTTGTTATTAACAATCACCCTCCCCTCCCCCAGAGGGAGACGAATGGAAAAAATCCCACACGAGTTCATTTTGTGGAAGGTCACTGTGTCTGCCCTTTTTATGTTAGCTTCTTTATTTTTCAGAGGTCACATCTCTTTTTTTCTTTTCCTTTGAGATTCATTAACACCATGATGGAAAGGAACTCATTCCTTCTGTCACTGTTATAAACAGAGAGTGAGAGGGAAATAAAAAATAAAAAAGCAAGAAAAAGTATCTGAAGACTGTGGCATTGGCTGTGAAATGCAAGGGGTGGGGGGAGGGGGGACTTAGGATTTCATGTGGCCCCAGAGTGTTCTAGGCTGGTGATGTTTTGCACCGACCCTTGGGGAGTCTCTCTGTGGCTTCCACCCAAACTGGGCCTTTAACGCTTCAGGTGAGCGGCAGTGAGTGAAGCCGCTGCCCAACTGTCAGTCACAGGCAGGAGAGGAACCTGGCGACCTGCAACCAGTCAGAGGTGGTCCTTGGACCCTCCCCTCATACATAAAACATGCCACGCAAAGTCATTTCACGCCCCAGCATCTGCCCACTGATCCAGAAAGGTACACCTATTCATCTCTCTCAGAAAATGTTTATGGAGAGAAATTATCAGCGGGAGAAAACAAATTCTCTGGTGAGATAGTGCCCTTTGTGAGCTATCTATTTCTGGGGAAGCGTCAACAATGGGGATGGTGTTCGGCTTGAATGTGGTGTGCCTGAGAGAACTGGAGGGAACCCTGACTTTACAAAAACCCCAGAGCAAGGAGATTCTGCCACCTGGGTGCCTGCCTATACGACTGGGCTGGAAAACAGATTTACAGGGAAGGTTCTGAGACTAAAGGGAAGTGGGAGGGGGGTTCCTTTTCATGTTGATGCACTCAAAGCTTGCTCCAGCTCCAGAGCCAGAAGCTGAGACAAAATGTAATAACTGAAAGAAAGGACGCCACCCCAAACCCCATTTCGACTGCCCCGGGGAGGATTTTATTCCTCAGGGGCCAGAGACACAGGACTGAGGACATACATACTTTTCAAGAGTCTCCAAAAAATGCACACCACCAACATGCTTGTTGACGCCAAGACACGAAACGAAAATTCCAAAATGAAAAATTAACTGTCTACAAAACACAGTATTATATCAACTTCCTAAATTATTCAACTTGATATCCATGAAATTTTTATTATGTTTGAAAACAATTAGTGGATCCTTTCACTTCAAGGAATTCCTAACTGTACCCGATGCTTTCTGAGAAATCATAGCCACTGAAAATTAAATAAGCAAATTAATCTTGAAAGCAACATTATAAAAATGTCCTAACTTACAAGACTATTTTAAAGCAAAAGTAATTGCATTTACAGTGGTATGTGGGAACATTTTGATGTGTGCTGTGACATGGGGCAGTGCATTTAGAAGTTAGGCTGCTTAGCTTCAACCCTGTCCCATGGGTCAGGGCCCATCAAAAGCTTTAAGAAAAGCAGATATATGCAAACAAGGGTAGTGAAGAAATGTCTTTATAGCCAACTGAACTGCTTTGTTCCCATAATCCAGAAATTATTTAAGTGAGAAGGATCCCTGGCCATCATGGATCCCAGTGCAAAGATAGAACTGGTGTCTGAGTCTCCAAACATCAATCCTCTACTCTGTATAGGATGAGACACCTGAGGCTCAGAAAGGGGAAGATCAGTCTCTAGGTCACTCAGCAAAAGCATCCACCAGGCAAAGGGCTAACCACCTATAAGCTTAGAGATGGGACTCCAAGACTCTTGCCTTCCAGGCTTTGCCCTGGCCACTATTCCATGCCTGGATGTCTTGCTTCCTTCACCCTTAAGCACCCCCTTGCTCTTAGTAGAATATCTAGATCTCTTCAAGTTCTCTCACTGCTTTGACTCTGGAGGATTCAGCTCATGTTCGTACATGCCTGTTGACATCCACCATCCATGTGTTTATCCTTTGGTTTTCCCAACCTTGGTCCAGACATCCTATTTTCCAGGCCTTCTAATTGGAAGTCCACCTTATCCTGTGCAAATCACCTGTGCCCAAGATCTCCGTTCTAGCAGGGTTTAGCTGACTGGCTCATCCAGCCACCATGGGGACAACTGGATAATAAGACCAGTGGTCGGCAAACTGCAGCTCGCTAGCCACATGCAGCTCTTTGACCCCTTAAGTGTGGCTCTTCCACAAAATACCACGTGCGCGCATGCACGTACAGTGCGATTGAAACTTCGTGGCCCATGTGCAGAAGTCGGTTTTCAGCTCTCAAAAGAAATTTCAATCTTTGTACTGTTGATATTTGGCTCTGCTGACTAATGAGTTTGCCGACCACTGACTTAGACCATCTGCCGCCCCCTTGTGGCCAATAGGAGAAGTGCACTGCCTGGGACTTGGTCCACCCCATT